GTGTTCATAAATGGTTAAATTTAACCTGAGTCACATGGTTAGAAAATATTAGATAATTGTAAAAACCCCGATGTTTTACCGTGACAATTTCAAAATAATGTGGCGCGTAGGATTCTTCAACAGGTTCAAGAAACGGCCATCCATCTTCATGACTTTTTAAAGCATCAAGGACTAAATTGAGACCAGAAATAAAAGTCATGAGAGTACTGCATTTACATGGTACCAATGACAGAACAGAACCACTCTACAGTATTTGCACAACACAATTAATTTGGGCACACACGATGCAATTTATTCCGCCGACTTATGGTTTAGATGATGTTAAAATGAAATGTTATCGGAAAATAGAGGTGGAGGTGCTGCCAATCATCCTTTATATACTTGTAGCTGAAAGCCGAGATGTTTTACGAAAGAACGCAGCTCGACCTGATCGAGTCGAGGGCTCCTATTGCTGCTATGTATCTGTAGCTGATCACGGGACACAGCTATGATTGAAAAGATAGTTTTGGATTTATCCTGCCATCATTCCCTGCGGAAGGAAACCTGGGTAGCCAGAGAAAACTCAAGACTTTCGTAGAGCGTAAATGACTTTTTTCACTCCGTAGCGAAAATCGAAACCTAGTTCTCAGAACTAAATTAGCCACATCAAGGCCTTATTCATACGAATAGTGCCTTCGGGATAGGTTTTGTTGTGATTGAACAAACTGTGTTCTAGTAAATCCTGATGATGTACGCTCAGTCCGTAAGCTCGATTTTATAACTTTCAACTTCTAGTAACTTTTTAATGTTTTAATACTAGTTCATAAACCAGAACAAAAATGAAATTGCCTAGTAGCATATCAATTTTCAAATCACTAGGGCTATTATTGTGTCTTTTTCTTGCTTTATTTTTCAACTATCTCGTTCAATACTAATATAGGTCAAAATTGGAAAACATTTTCCATCTTGGTAACGGAAAGTTGGGAAGTGTTCATATGGAAAATTGTAACCTCCTAACAGTCGTGCCAATAGAAGCGTTCCGAAAAATGTTGACCAGTTCATTTCCTAACTTCGAGGAGTTCCTCTGAACAATTCCTCAACGATTTGATAAGTTCTTTAAAAAGTTCCTAACTTCCCGTTTCATTGACCAATCAGATTGCTCAAAAATAAAATATAAAATTTGATTGGTCAATGAAACAGGAAGCTAGGAACTTTTTAAGGTATCAAATTGTTGAGGAATTGTTCAGAGGTGTTCCTTCAAGTTAGGAAATGAACTGGTCAACATTTTTCGGAACGCTTCTATATTGGCACGACTGTAATGAGATCCCACCTGGCTCGTTTCTCATATGAACACAAATTGAATTTCATATGCATTAACTAGGGCATGCGGATATCACTCAGGTTAGTTTAACGGTTTGCAAGCTCATATTAACTTAAATCAGGAAAATATATTCTCGCTGCCACTGTGGAAGCGCTTACCTTTGTACATTCCAGTGAACATGTCGACGTCCCCTTCAAACGCTCTAAAACATTCAATAATACATTTGATAAGTGAGTTTAAAAAAGTGTTGACAAAGTACAACCATAGACAATCCAGATGTCTTCTGGATTATCTACGGTACAACAAAACGTTGTGAACAACGGTCGTCAGTCCTCAACACGTCTTTAGGGAGTTTAAAATTTTGACGACGAACTACCGACTACGTTTGAAATAGTTTTTGTTGTATGTATGCAAATACTAAATGCTTGTGATAACAAATTTATCCCAAATATGTTTTATGTGCATGGCTTTGTGTTCGGTAAGTTTCATCTTTTAATTTTCATCATTTCTTTATAAAAATACTCTCCAACTTGCAACGTTACGTAGTCAGTTTCGGTGGTATGTTCTTGATTCTGGTTTACAACACAAGAATGTGATTTTTACGCTGTAGCCAAGGTCGCTACAGTTAAAAGTATGCTCTGCATGGAGATATGTAAATTTTGTCTGCCTCAGTTAAAGCAATGCGAATACATTAAGCTTTCAACCCTATCCGTACCCGTTGTTCGTTGTCGGCATCTTAAACTCCTTTTGTAAATTAGAATACGGTGAAATAGTGCTACGCTTCAAACGACGCGGTTTCATTTTCCATTCGGGCAAGGTCCCACAGTGGCCACGATATCGGAATCACAATGGGAAAGACAATGTCTTGACCCTAAGAGATGTATTCCTGTTGTATACTTGTATACCATTGTGTTTGGCGCTGATTGCCTCCTTACCTGCACAGACTAATATCCTGACCGACGTTTGTTTAAAACTCGTACACCTAGTTTTCTCCGCTAGGAGGTTATGTTTTCACCCCAGTTTGTTGGTCCGTGTGTGAGCACCATAATCCAAAACCTACCGAAATTTTAGTACGAAAATTTGTGGAGCTCAAATTTTGGTCCAACTTGAAAAAAATTGACGAGGAACGAACGATTGTTATGTTTTTCAGGATGAAAAGAGCTGAACGCGTAATAAGTCTCAGAGTGGCGTATTGTTTTTACTCCATTGCCATAAAACGGATTTATTGGGAGTAGCCATCGCAATGAATCCATGACAGAACTGATAAGTTAAACAACTTACTTGTCTAATTCATCTAGTTTTTTGTCATCATCTTCTTCGTCGTCTCTGTCGTCGCCGTTCTTCTCTAATGACTGCAAGATTTCCTCAGACACATCACCACCAGTCATTATCAACCACTGTCTTTCTTCACGTGACCTGGCTCGTTCAGCTCGTTCTAAACAAATGCAATTCAATTTTCTTTCTCATTAAGTTATGGCCATTAATTGGTGACATGCAAACTGTAATTCCTCTCTATTCCAGCATTTCCAGGCACGTGCGAAGGGGAAAGCAGGAGAGTAAAGACTTTATAGGATGGTCTTAGCCAGCCTGCCGTCCAGTTGTCTTATGGACGGCTATCTTATTAACGGTCGATTATCATATTGAGGTATTTGAAGCCATTAAGCCATCAATGGACAACTTGCATGTTAGACTAAATTTTAATCTAAGTAAAGAGAGGGGAATCAAACACAACCGTTAAAAAGAACATAATGAAATTAGTAAAATTGCAAAATTTGGTTGCGAAATGTTGTAAAATACAGAAAATATAGCCTTGCGACGTTTGCATATTTTCAGTATACTTGTATTATGTGAGGAAATTGTTACCATTTTCGGCTCAAAAATGGCAACAATTTCCGCACGTAATACAAATATACTGAAAATATGCAAACTTCGCAAGGCTATATTTTTTTGTATTTTACAACATTTCGCAACCAAATTTTGCGATTTTACTAATTTTAATAAGTTCTTTACGGGAATTTACTTTTTTTGCCTAAATAAAAAATTAGTCTAACATGCAAGACGCAAGTTATCTATTACCGGTTATAATGTACAGATTTTCAGACGAGGGCATCTATGTCGAGCTTGGGCGACAAGGGCGCCTTGTCCAGCTTTATGTAGACCTTTATCACTTTTTTTTACTCGATTTAAAATTTGATGTCAGATGGTTTTGATGTTTGAAATCACATTGTCTGTTCTGTCATTGGTACCATGTGGTGCAGTACTCTGATATGACTTTTATTTCTGATATTCCATAAATAGCAGGAATGAAAAGGTCGAAGTCAAAGTTAGCAAGTATCAAAAACGTGGAGGCTTTATTTTGAAAACTGCCAACTGGCACTATTTTTAAAATCAAATTTTATTGGAAAATATATGGGGATTTGCATTGGATCGAGCCTTGACGGGCATACAACTCTATTAAATGTTCTGTTTCTAGAAACGACGCTAGTGTCACAATATTGACCTTATTTTTCATTCTTGGTTTTTCTAGATTTTTAATATCAAGCTGAAATTTACTCAAAATGTAATAAAGGTCTATTTTATAGTCTAATGCATTGTTTTCTGCCATTGTTTAAGGATTGTTTGTTAATCACCGATAGTCAAATTGGAAACAACTCCAATAAAATACCTTGATAAACCATAAAAAATACACCAGTAATAATATACAACATGCAGACATTCATCAAGTCCCAAAT